CCATTTAAATTAAGCTCTCAACTCACAGTCTCGGCCATAAAAATGTCAAAACTGATGAAAAATGCCCGAGAAAAGGATAAGAAAAAACACAATACTGGCTTGGATCAGCTTTGTTGACTGGCGTATTGAGCAAAACCCACATTCAATAGATAACTAAACTCGATTTTTTGTGGACAAATCCGCTCTTAAAATCCCCCTTGTCGGGCTGAAAATATTTTCAGTGACTCTAAACTATTTTCCATTATGCAAGATAAGAATAATCAATAAACTAATGATAATCACAATAACGTGAATAATAAAACAAAGCTGCGAAAACAACAAAATAAATAGGAGACACTTTGTTGATATGACCTGCTACGTCACATCGGGATAGGCCACCGACAATACGGATTCGGCGTTTTTGGCGGAAACTGTCTGATTTGAATTAAAATCATTATGGGGACTTTTTTTGCAAAAAAAATTACACCAGTGTAATGTTTGCCACAACTACTTTCTATATATCAACATTAAAATAAAAGTGAAAACACCCTATTGCATGCAGTGGTCCTTAAGTTGCGTTTGCTATTGGTTTAGTGGCACGCATCCTCTCCCGGCCGGAACAATTTACTTAATTAACACAAAAACTAAGTGGCGCATGCGCATGAATTTGCGCCTCTGGCGCCTTGGAGGGTTCACCAATCGATCTACCAGACGGGTGGCATATCGGAATAAGCCAGCATCTTCCTCTTGTAGGGCAGATCGGGGCATTCGGCCACTTTATGCAAACGCGGCAAAAGCACATCCATGCTATCGGCATTCGGGGCCAAATCGCGCCTCAGCAGATGGCTGAAGATCTTCTCCCTGCTCTTGTCCCTAGCAGACATGTAGGGCTGCACGGGCTCCAAGTGCGCCTTGGGCTTAATCTTCGCTCGCTCTTCCGGATGGAGGATGGAGCGCCTTTCTGGCCGTTTTGGCTGCTCGTCTTTCGGCTGCCTCTTACCGAATGCGGTTATGGGATCGGGAACCAGGCTGGGTCTTGGGACGAACGGTACTTTTTCCCAGGGAATCTCTCGTTTCTGGAACAAGGGAAAATTTCATTCACCGTTCGTCCCCATTCCAGGCTG